AGCTAAGCTCGGTATTTAACACTGATGTGAGGGGTTTGTTTTGACAACTGATTGCAACATGTGTTGAGCTCTTCACACAAGTCCCCCAGCCCCTGCTCCTGCATTTAGAGATAGGAAGTAGATCCCTTTTCTATGAAACTGAAATACTCAGAGCTGGAAGTCACCTTAATCTGCTTATATATCCATTAAATATGCACATGTGTAAATATATCAATGCATGTACAAGTGTGTGCATATACTTACACATATAAATATGACACGTGTAAATATGCACATGTGTGGCATGGCATCCTGTATGCTTCAAGGGGTTTATCCACAAAGGGGCCATTATCAGCCAGGCCACAGCTGTGATAACATACCAAATGAATCATGACTCAAACTCAGTATAAGTTGATTTCTTTCTCATGCAAAGTCCAAAAGAAAGTATTTCTGATCTCAGAACAGCACTCTCCCAACTAGTGTTTCCAGAACGTAAACTCCTGTCACCTGGTTGGTCCCATCTTCAGCACATGGCTTCCAAGATTGCTTTGCTGAATTGAATGTGTCAAGCTGGTGGAAGAGAAAGAGCAGGAAGAACTGCAAATGGGATACAGGTGTTCCTGGACCAGCTGGGAAGGACAGATATCACTGTTGCTCACGTACTCTCTGTTAGAATTGACCATGTCATGTGGTCACATCTACCTGCAAAGGAAGCCTAGAAAGTCCAACTGTGTGCCCAGAAAGTAGAGTGAGGTTCTATGACACCTAGACTCCCTACCATGGTGACAAAGCAGAAATATAGGGCTTGGCCTACCATCTCATGTAGCTGACCATACTGTTAGGAATTAGATCCTTTAATGGGAACAATTCAGTATATTGCACATCAGATAAAGGGCCAACATAAGGTGTTGATAGAATCCACTGAGGGCTAAAGAGGTTAGATTAGCTCATAGGAAGGCTTTCAGTGTTGTCCTGAGTAATGGTCAAAGGTATTTTTTTTTAATTTACTTATTTTTATTTGAAAGGCAGAATTACAGAGAGACAGAGATCTTCCATCTGCTGGTTCACTCCTCAAATGGCCACAATGGCAAGGACTGGGGCAGGCCAAAGCCAAGAGCCAGGAACCTCATTCAGGTCTCCCACATGGGAGCACGGGCCCAAGCACTGGGGACATTTTCTGCTGCTTTCCCAGGAGGCTGGATTGGAAGTGGGACAGCTGGGACTTGAACCAGTGTCCATATGGAAAGCCAGCATTGCAGACCACAGCTTAATCCTCTGCACTACAGTCCCATCTCCATATTCAGATTTTAAAAGATTGGCAGGGGCAACAAGAACATAGCATGAGAAGGTGGGCAAAAGTTCAACTCACAAAGGAGAATGACACATTCTAGAAAGAGAGACAACAGTTTGACACAAAGGGATGGTAAACCTGTTATCCAAAGAAACATCTGAGTGGGAAGATCTCTCACTTCCCTCTGCAGTAGAGATGTAGGAGGCTGAAAATCTCCATTTCCAAGACCAGGGAAACCTCAGGTACTGAGATCAGGTAACAGATGCAGGTGCTTAGATTCATTTGAAAGCCATACTGGATAATCTTGCTACGTTCTATGTCTGAAACAAAACATGTGGAATATCCAGGATTTGTCTGGATATGCAAGTTAAGGCTTGAAGTATGATTTGTTTCAGGTCTGAGATTTCACCCAGAGGGACCTTGAAAGTCAACATGAGCTATGGATAGGTGTGAGATGGAGAAAATTGCACCATAATTAAGCAAGTGGACTCTGTATGGAAGTTAATGGCATTCCTGGCTGATAATGGCTTGAGTTTTGCATATGTACATTCTACATTTTCACAGACCTGAATTAGCACATATAGCATCAAGAGTTTGAAAATGATGATATGCATATGATGTTACTTTGAAAAGTTCACAGAGTGGATATTTAGCCTGGTGGTTAGGATCCACATTCCTGTCAGAGTACCTGAGTCCAGTTCCTGGCACTCCTGACTCTGGTTCCCTGACAGTGCAGATTTTGGGAGGCAGTGAAAATGGCTCAGGTAATTGGGTATCTGCCATCTACCTGGGAGACCTGGAATCATCCCTGTCTCCAGATTTCTTCCCCATCCCAGCCCCAGCCATTGTGGGCATTTGGGAAGTGAACCAGTGGATGGGAAATCTGCATCTATCTGTCTCTCATAAAAACAAAGAAAATTTCATGAAAAAATAATTATAAAAAAATCTAGGTATACATTTAAAAAAAATTGCACCAAAATAAACTTGCCTTTTAATTCCTTTTTGCCACAAACTTTTTGAAGTACTCTCATAACGTGTATACATATATTTAGATATGAAGCTATAAGCCTTCCCTAAAGGCTCTTGTAAATATAATGTCTATGGGCTTGTGAGCTTCATGACTTTTTTAAGGGAAGTTTTATGAAAAGGTGGTACTTAACTACCATTTTCTTATCCACAGCCTTAACACAGGAGTAGATTCTATTTTGCTCTATGTCCATCTTATCTGCCTTACATACATGGAAACTTTCACAGCAGATGATTAGTTTGTTCATTATCATTTCAGAAATTACCTAACACAAACTTTCCATTTGAGACTAGATAGGTGAAAGCTGTGTGGATTGCACCATCATGTCTTATCCGTTGTTCCATCCTACTCTGGCCATGTCTCTCTCTGCCTGTGGTGGAGAATTTAGTAGCCACATACATCCATCTTTTTAATAGGTGAGAAATCTGAGGCAGAGAGGTTCACTTACACTCCCCAGATCACATAAAACCTGTGGCTTAGACAAGGCTGAAGCTAAGATCTCTTGCCCTTTCCAGCACCACTACCTCCTTCCAAACAGACTTTATCCTTTTCGTGGAAAGGAACTGACACTTGGATGATAGTCATTGAAAAATAGCATTTTTTGAGAGTGGGTTTCTGCATGCACATATTGATGCAGTGAGTGAAAGGGTGACATCATCTATCTGAGAAAGAAGTAGGAAGTACAAGTATGATCATGAACTGAATAAAAAGTCAGACATCTAATCTGTAGAGGACTCTTCTCCCAAATCACATGATATACCATTCAAAATCATCATTTCTTTAGTTGAATGTCATTTCCCATAACTTCTTGTACTGTTTGCATAGTGATAAATGTATTCTTAGGTCTTACAATATTATAATTATCTTGGCACTCTCTCAACCTTTAAAACCTATATACAGGTGCAGAAAACAGAAAGCCATCTTTCCTTAGAGTCTGCATCCAGCATTAATTGAGTACTTACTGAGTACGGTACACTGTGACGGGTCCTGGGGAATAAATGATGAGGGACATTCAATCTTTGTCCCTAGGCAACTCGGATTTTGAAAGGAACTGAATATAAAGATTATAAAAATTGTCCAGAAAGAATATTATGATTCTGGTTACCTATTGAGGTGTTATCTCTGTTGGAGAAATTTGAATTTTCAAAACAACAGATGTCCAGTATAAGACTTATTCCCAGTTTAGTGAAAGCTCCTCCAAAAACACATAGATTGAGAGAAGCAAGCATCTAGTGTGAAGCAAATAGTGATTAGCGTACTGGTGAGAGAGCTCATCTACCCACAACAAGAAAAAATACATTGACCCCTGCAGCAGTGTGCACCCTTCAGTAGGTGCTGATTAAATTGCTTGATGAGAATAACAGGAGTAAAATGGGGGAAAGGAAAAACATGGCTTTCTAATGGAGTTTATGGTCCTTGCTTGACAATGAAGTAGATCTCCTGGGACAAAGTGACCTGTGGAGGTCTGCACTCTCAGCTGATCCCCAGAATATTTAGTGGCTGAGAACTTGAGACATTTCTTAACCAGCATCAGTGTGCATCAGGGCCTCCCCAGGGAGGAAAAGCAGTGGGAAGGCTTTTCAGAGGTGAGTGAAGCAGCCTTAGACACATTTACTTCCCCTGAAGCCACAGAAGCTGCACCCTAGACAAACCAGACTACAGGTACTATTTTTAAAATATCATCAACCTAGGGAAACATTAGATATAAATCACATATTTTATTGCATTTGCAATTAAACAGATCAAATTTAATGTCCACAGAAAAGCCTTGGTAATTAGCATAAGGATTAATGTAGTGTAAGGTCTCTGGTTTAACAGGCCTCCCAAGCAAAACTGAAATCCAGAATTCAGTATATAGTCGAATAGCATGTGAATATTAATGCATAAAGTCGTCCAAGTCCCCAGATCCCTGATGCAATTATTTTCTATTCACATTAATTGTTCCTAACAGATGACGTTAATGACTTTGAATTAAAATGTGTCTAAGGGAAGATTTCACAAGATCGGTGCTGTTTCAAAAGAAATAAGGCCCCTTTTATAATACCTTGCTCAGGTTTTCACCACTGCTCGATGTAAGGTTAACTTGATCACTACTTTTATAAGCATGGATATCAAAAGTTAATTTTTGGACTAATATTGGCATATTCACAGTTTTACTTTCCTAAAATTATTTATGTTTAAGGTGTACTGAAAGTACAGCTATTGTTTATAAACTGTAATTTTGCATATATGCATTTATTTGGAAGGCGGATAAACTAGAATAAACTTTTTTAAAAAAAATAGGACATATATTCTCTAATCTGGAAAGTCGATTCTATTGAGATTTAACTGTCTGAAGCTGGACTTTGACAACTAAATGATCGCTGTTCAATGTCTCTGCTTGGCTTTACCTAGAAACTTCACTCACGCATCTTAGATCTTTCATCCGGAGATTTGCTTTCAGACGTGGCAAGAAGCCGAAGTGTGACTCAGTCGCGAACAGATGTTGAGCTGCACGTGAGTTTTCCAGTTGCCTTCAGAACACTTGTTTAGGTTGTGAGTTTCCTTCCATCAAGTATGATGTCACAAGTGAACCATAAAGTGCATCCTTGAAGCACTGTCAGGCAGATAAGAATACTTTCCTTTCTTATGTTCTCTGAAATTCAATATAATGTCTCCTAGCTGATAGGGAAGCAGAAAGTGTCACTCTCGGCAAAACTGTCATAAATCTTTGTTTTGTCCCCAAGATACCTTTTTGGGTATTGATTACGTCTCAGAGACGTCTCTGAGAAATGGTCACAGAGCTTTTTATTAAAGCCCATGTCCCATATCATTCATCCTATTTTTATGATATATTATGTATGAACTTTTAAAAATTCATGGGCTCTATGTTTTTGCTCCATACTGGGGTTAGCTTTGTGCTTGTTTGGCAAAACCTTAAGCAGAATGGCTGTTAACTCTCGCTGATGTACAAAAAGTAATGTAGAAGAAAACACTATTGCCAAATATATATGTAATGAAAAATATTAGGCTTAATAATGGCATGAACATATCAGACAACTGTTTTTATCTAAATGTATAATTTTGGCAGTATATGCATAATATTCTATGTAGAAGGTAAAGACTCAAATTAAACTGGAATTAAATTTTAGTGGGATGCTGTCACTTGAATGATTCAAAAAGACCTAACAGCATCCAGTCTATTACATGGCCTTAAGGTCAGGAATGTTTTAAGTGTGCAGTTTTTATCTAAGGAGTTCTTGGGTTCCTCCCATGTCTCTATAATTTTTTTTTTTTGACAGGCAGAATTAGACAGTGAGAGAGAGAGACAGAGAGAAAGGTCTTCCTTCCGTTGGTTCACCCCCCAAATGGCTGCTACAGCTGGCGCGCTGCACTGAGCTGAAGTCAGGAGCCAGGTGCTTCCTCCTGGTCTCCCATACAGGTGCAGGGCCCAAGCACTTGGGCCATCCTCCACTGCCTTCCCGGGCCACAGCAGAGAGCTGGACTGCAAGAGGAGCAACTGGGACAGAATGCCGTGCCCCGAGTGGGACTGGAACCCAGGGTACTGGCGCCGCAAGCGGAGGATCAGCCTAGTGAGCCGCAGTGCTGGCCTCTATAATTTTTAATTAAAATTCTAGGTTTTATCCTACATTTCTCACACTAAGACATTAAAGAATATGAGTCGTTCAAGATGGTAACCTAAAATAAATGATGAGAAAAATACACTTTGGATATTGCAAACAGGATGTAGTTTACCAATTAAGTAATCTAGATAATATTGCAAAGGAAGCCAATATGTACTATTAGACAAGGAAGAATTTTAGTAGTAGTCATTACCTGTTATACTGACAACCACAGTCACTGAGGCTCCTGGTGTTCTGTGCACCTCTGGGAGTTCCTGTCATTGTCAGGGACAATGTTGCCAAAAACATTATAGCAGAATACCTGGGACCTGGGGCTGTCTTCAGAGAGTTCTGTGGTCTTGATGACTTCAGGCGAGATAATAAAAACTTGGTGCCTTAATTTTCCTATTTAGAAAATAAATATAATTTTTATTTTCTGTTTCAGGGAGTTGTGAGGATTAGATGAGATGATTCATGAAATGAGTGTTGTATAGTGCCTGCTGACACTATTAGGATAGTAAAAAGATTTCTGTTGCTTTAGCCCTCTTCTGTCCTTATTATGTGGTGCCAAGTGACTGCCACAGCAAACAATGGCAAAGGTGGAAAAGACAACTGAGAACGCTGTCTTCTAGTTAGTCTTTACAGAAGCTCACATCAGCAATGTCTAGGAACAAAGTGCACCCACTTGTGACTGTTGCTCAACATAGTTAATTTGCCATTTATGTGCAAGACGTCAGATAATATCCAAGTATCAAAAACTGTAAACCAGGGTACCTTAAGATTCATTTGAAATACCAAGAATTACATGTGTTTATGTGTGAGGGGGTAATATATATTAGGAGGCTTCAAAATATTTGTGGAAATGGAATTAAAAGGTACTGCAGATTTACCACAAATCTTTTGAAGCCCCCTTGTGCGCATGTGTGTGCACACACATACACACAAAAAGGTAATTATGGTAGCAATACCTAAAAGTTCCTCAGCATTTTTAGATTCCAAAGGGTGCTCAGTCTTCACAATGATCTTATGCAGCATGTGCTCTCATTATCTCCTTTTTCAAATAAAGAAACTGTGGCAAAATGGTTAAATAATTTTCCCAAGCTCAAAGAGCTTGCAAATTCAAGAGCCAGGATTTAAGCCCCATATATGGTGGTAGAGCTGAAGCACTCAACCACAAACCCTTATTCCCTGGAGTCCTTTATGATCATTGCATGCTAAAGTGGGAGCTGGTAAAGAAAAAGATCTCACTTTGCAGTCAGGGTGTCAGGGATTTTACTCTGAGTCCCCTATTAAGTTTCAACATTGATTTCCAAGGTGGGGGAAGGTAGACGTTCACCACGTGGAGGAGTGATTTCTTCCTCTCCTTTGTGGGGAATTGCTCATTGCTAGTCCCCACATGTACACACACAGCCTCCCCAACTCCCTGGCCTGTGGGTGGGATCAGCCATTGGGTCTGTCTTGCTCAACACTGCCCAGTTCAAACGTAAGACTATATAGTGTACTGCCCAGGAATTCACACAAGAGATGGACTTCTCTGGTAGCTTCTCCTGGAGGCTTGTTACTCAAACCATGGGGAAGTGCTGGGATACTTTTTAAAAGTACTACATGTGTCTCAGGACACACCCGCAAATTATTGAGTCAGAATCTGAATTTTAACAAGATCCCTAGATGATTTACATGCATATAAAAGCGTGAAAATCCTGAAAGTAGGCATTTGGCACAGTGGTAAAATTCAGTTTGTTATGCCAGCATCCGATATAGAGAGCCTGGGTTCAAGTTCTAGCTCCACTCTGATTCCAGCTTTCTGCTAATATGTACCCTAGGAGGCATCAAGTCGGGTCCCTGGCACCTATATAGGAGAATGAGATTGAGTTCCAGGATCCTGGCTTCAGCTTTACCAGGCCTTTGTGGTTGTGGGCATTCAGTGCAGTGAACTGCCACAAGCCGAGCAAAGGCTGAGAACTCCTCCATTGGAGGAGTTTAGCTTTGGGTCACCTCGCAGGAGTGACACAGTCTTGCTCTGAGGAGCAGACTCATCTACCAGAGCATAGGCAGTCTCGAATAGCAACTACCTCCCTGCTCGCTCAAACAGAATACAGACAGAGAGGAGGAAGATGGAAAGCACACTTGTAGAAGCAGAGCCTAATGTAATGGCTCTGAATGGTTGTTCCGGGAACGTTCTGGATGTCTGCAGTAGCTGAGACCTCCATGCCCCGTGCTGCTGTGCGGCAGTCAGTGGTGGAAGGCATCTGTTGTGACACAAATATGAACTCCCCCTCACTGCATTACATCCAGAAGCCAACAAGGTCATAAATCAATAGGCATTGGTGAAAGCCAGACTGTAAGACAACTTTCTCCTTTCATTGATATTTAGAGCCAAATTTCGTGGGGTAAATAGGGTAGTAAAATTTCTTGGCATTTTTAGAACACTTAAAGAGATTGTTACGCAGCAAAAAAATAAAGCATTGATAGCGAGGCAGATGCCAAATACAGGAAATGACACTATTAAGCATTATGGATATTGATTCGAGAGCGAATTAAACATGCCCTCTGTCCTTAAGGTGGGGTTTAATACTTACCACAGGTATTCTCGTACCATCACTGCCTGCCTATTCCCAGGCTGGTGTTTAGTCACCGTCAGTTGGAATTGCATTTGGAGAACAGTGATAAGTACTCAAGTACTAAATGCACCCATAAAGTGTCAATAAATTGCATAAGTAAGAGGCTTTGCCACTCTGCAAGTGACACAAAGACAGATGGCTCCCCATCACAGAGTTTCAGAGACAAAGCTTTATATAGATAAAAGACTGGAATTAGACGGTAATAGAGATTCTATTCTCGGTAGTCGGGATGCTAAATTAATTTAGCCCATCCAGTTTGCGAAGCTTCATCTGTTACAGGAGGGGCCTACAATGTGGCTGTCAAGATGTGCTTGGATGTTTACAACCTTGTCGCCCTTACCTTATGCAGACCCACTAGAATTCTAACAGCCTGGGCCTCCTGTGTAGGACCAGATCTGTTTTATGTGAGGGTTGTTAACATTTAGACAGCCAACTAGATATGAGAAGTCCTATTCTTTACAGTGGATGTTCACAATGCCTGAGTTTGTTCTCAGCCTTGCATGGCTTCCTGTGTGGTGACATGGATGTCTTGATTGCTGACTTAGAATGATGTGATCAGAGACAGAGGGAAGCATCTGGAAACCTGGTAGGGCTCTGGTCTGTACCAGTGAGGACAGGAAGGTCCATGGAAGTTGTATGCTTTGTTTGCTCAAGATCACATGATTAGGGGCAACACGGAGCCTGAGATCCAGACCATGCAGCTCACAGCCTAGGGCTCATGCTGTTGAACCCTACAGCCGAGGATGCTACTCTGTCCTCTTCTTTTTGTGGCATTTCAGTCATCTTTTGATATTGATCTGATTCTTTCAGTAGTGTGGCCAGATAAAATGAGAAATCACCATTGTGGAGCATTTGCCTGATACTGGTGTTAAAGAACCTGCTGTAATCCACACACAGCTTTCTGTTTCTCATCTAGAACCATATTTAGTCCTTGCAGTAACCCTAGCAGTGTTATTATTTCCCCCTTTTTCCCTTTTATGATCAATATCTTTCATAATTTACTTTTTCAATAACTTAAAAATTATCACTTATGTGAGTTTTAATGGGCATGTTAACTGCACATGAATTAAATAAAATTTCCTGACAGTCACACAGTTAATAAAAGGAAGCCAAGATTTGAGCCTGTAGTCTGACTCTAAAGTCTGCTCTTCTAATCACTCTACCATATTCCCTCCTGCCTCACGAGAGATTCAGTTTGTGTTTGTTGTCCCCCAAGCACAGCCCTTGCTTAGCACTGTCCTGCTTTTTTGCAGGAACGCCTGCTGAATCCGAAATCAGGAACCTCTGCCTTGAAGTGCCCTGGCTCTGGGGTTGTTGTCCCTGGTCATCTCTGTCCTCGAAACAGCTGTAGCAGCAGCGAACTGTCTCTTTCAAGCACCTGCAGTGAGTACTCCAGCAGCTCCTCCTACACCTGGCATGATGGGAGGAACCTCAGGAAAATGGTAAGACTTCCTTCCAAGGCACTTTGGCATCAGAGTGGGTCACAAAAGAGTCTTCCTTCTTCCAGTAGGATTTGTTCAGAGGGTAGGAGGTGCAAGAAGGAAACAACCATTTGCTTCCGCTTGCTCATGTGTTATATTGACCTCCTCTCACTGATGCTCTTGTCCCATTAAACTAACTATTAACCGTAAGGCAGCATAGTAGAGAAAATACCATGGGAGGTAATAGGGACCAGAACTTCATTGAAGTAGGCCCAGCCCTCTGTTTGTGCTAGGAGTTCTTTCACCAGGTTTTCCAGTGGTTACTGCTTGTAGAATGACTATCTTAGTCTATTTTATGTTAGTGTAACAGAATACCACAGAATGGGTAATTTATATATAAAAAATTATATTTCTCACAATTCTGAAGGCTGGGAGTTGAAGCTCATGATGCTGGTCTCTGGGGAGGGCCCTACTGCTGCTTCATCACGTGGTGGAAAGCAACCAGTGCGGGGAGAGAACATGAGCCTGCACGCTCAGGAGTCTCTCCTGAAGCCACTGATCTCAATGTGGGAGCCTCACCTGCATGACCTCTTCTAGCCCTAAATTACCTCTCAAAGGCCTCACCTCTAAATATCATGAATATATGTATTTAGGGATTAAGTTTCCAACACATAGACTTCAGGGGGACCCACTCAAATCACAGCAGACTCACATTTTCAAGGGGGCCCACACAGCTGAAGATTCTCTGATGCTTTGAACAAGTTTCTTTGCACAGTAGTTGAAGTCAGGTATTTGAAATAGTTGGATTAGCAGTTTCCTAACACTGAACAAAAGCTAAGAGTACACAGGAATGAAAATCTGAAATCAGACTATTTGGCAGTCATTTATCTACCATTTGGATCAATTTAGTTTATGATTTACATAGTGTGGAATCCAGAAAAATCCATAACTCCCAAAAGTATTTGTGAAGGACTAGCTTTTTCATCTTCTAAACAAGAGCTCAGGAAAAGGTTCAGGTATTGTGGCACTGGGGTTAAGCTGCCACTTGGGACTCCTATATCCAATATCAGAATGCCAGTTCAAGTCCCAGTTCCTCTGTACTTCTGATCTTGCTTCCTACTAATGTACATGGATGGCGTCAGGTTATAGCCTAAGTACTCGGGTTCCTGCCACTTAAACGGGAGACCTAAATAGGCCTCCTGGCTCCTGAATTCAGCTGTTGCTGGCATTTGGTGAGTGAACCAGCAGGTGGAAGATTTCGGTCTGTTTGTTTCTTCCTTTCTGTTATACTGCCTTTCAAATAAATAAATCTTTAAAAAAAAGAAAGAAAAAGATTGTAAGCTGCATTTAGAACTCATTCCCCTGGACTTGAACTTCTAGGGCACAGTTCAGAGCCTGCTGCATTTTCAAAATTGCTCCCTCAGAGGGGTTGTTCAGAGCTCTGATAAGGACTGTAAGGAGCCAGGCAGAGAGGACACTGGGTAGATGGTGGGGAGGCTTCCTTGCTCTGCTGTTAGTATTACTGGCTCCACAGCCCCTGCAGGGTTCTGCCCTTTTCACTCTCACAGCTCTTCTCTTTCTCTAACAGTCTTTTATTTCTTCCTTTTTTTTTTTTTTTTGGAGGGGGGAGGGGGAGCTCAAATTCTTATAATTAAAGCAGTTCTTGATGTTCCAAGGCAATCTGTCCCCTGAAGAAAAGAAAGATTCTTAATTCACTTCCTAAACACTAAGGTGCCTGTCTTGTCAGAGTGGAGTCCCCAAACACCTGTCACATCTCACAGTGCACAGTCCTGATGCTCAGGGCCCAACGGGCTAGACGCAGTCCCATCAAAACATGTTAAACTTATATTACTTCAGGGAACTTCTACAGTTCTTACCTTGTGCTGGGTACTCCTCTAGTATTAGCTAACATAATAAACTCATACAATATGAACTTCAATGTGAATATAATATTAACATATAATAATACATATATGACTGATGGCTGTTTTTGAGTTCACAAGTGTTTTTTAAATATTAGGTAGAAACAAAAAGAATGCTTGCATGAAAAACAGTAGCCTGCACAACATAGAAATACAAATTTATACTTGTGAAGAGTCTTCAAAACTTTCATGGAATTTGTGGGTTAAAGAAAACTATGCAGGATTTCAACTGTTTTTATTTTCAAGAAAAGTAACTTACCTTTTCATTATATTTTTTCCACAACCTTTTTGAATTCCGCTCATACTTGCTCCTTTAATACTCAAAATAGCCTATTAAGTAGATTGTCCTGTTCTCACAGTTTTATAAATGGGGAAACCAAGACTCTGAGGAGTTAAGTAACGGGTCTAAGATCCATCACCAGTAGCGGCAGAGCTGAGCAGTTGGTTCTGTGACCTTCACTCACTCATAACCATTCTGTTACTCTGACTTTATTGAGTCAGCCTAAAATGTGGGGCACTGTTCCCATTAAGACCAAGAATGCCCTTTAAAAAAATGTGTCTAGTTGGGAAACAGAGTTGGACTGTGCCCAGAAAACTGCTCCTTAGAACAATCTTCATCCACCTTTTCCCAGAAGAGAATAACACCCACTGTGGGAAATGCCTCTCACCCTCCCATCCCCACACAGGGGAGTCATTCTTCCCCCAGCACAAGTTTCAAGATTGGCCCCAGCTTTCCTCAGGATACTAAACACTATAACCTCCTGTGGAACGCTGACAGGAAGATATAGCTAATGTCACCAGGATGAGAGCCTGGGCCCTGAGAGGTTGGCAGCCACTGACTCTGGGATGAATTGAGCTGCTCCATAAACAGGGTATGGAGAGGAGGCAGGAAGGAGAGGTAAGCAAAGCTAAGCCAATCTTCTGGGGCTTGAGCACATCTGCCTTTTTCAGGACCCTGTCGGGTGCTTTTGCCTGGCTTCCTTTTTTTATTGGCAATATGACTATCAGTATCAGGGAAATTACTAGAAACCAAAGCTGTGACAGCCTGCTCTCTAGTGATTCTATGATATCCAGACTCACTAATGGGATTTCTTTTGAGTACCAGAGGAGTTTCTAATGGGATAGGGGAAGAGCCCCCTCCCCCCCGAAGGGTTGGCATCTCCAAATAACATCTCTCCCCAGCAACTTCTAACATTGGCGAGTTTCCTAAAGAAAATACATAATTGGGTTTTTCTCTCTTGGAGTCCCCTCCTAACACTGCAGCAGGAAGTTTCTGAATTAAATACATCTTGCTTCGCTCACACACACACACATACCAAAAAAAGACATAATTTGGCTTAAAAACAAATAAACGTGTTTTGTCTTGTGTCTTGTTGATAGCAAGAATAATTTTCACAAAAATGCCTTAGATGTAAGCGTATAGTCACGGCTCACTAAAAGCCCGTATTCCAACAGAAGCTGCTGACACTTTTCAGCTTCTGCAGATGATCATGGGGTTGTGATTCAGAGGGCAGCTGCTATTACAGAAATTGACCTCGAGCACAACCTCTGGAACCACCAGATTCTTCCCATAAAGTCCTTCACCGTTAATTATGTAGCCTTTTAGGAAAGTCACTAGGTCAGACCCGACATGCACTAATTTCTTCGAGTGCTGGCTTGTCGTTTATTCTCTGCAAGTTCCATTCAAGAAATGGTGTGGAGTATAACCTGTGATCTCTGCTGTGACACTCACCAATACAGAGGGGAACCTGCAGGCTGAACTTGACTTAAGTCATATGGCATTGACTGCCTGGGTTCACACCCCCTTCCAGCTACTGTTAAGCTGAGTCAACACCCACAGTGATAGAGAAAAAGCCTCAGAAAGCAGAGTCCAGACCTTAGCTCCTAACTGGATGGTCTCCAACAGACCAATCCTGTAGAGTCTGTGCTTTCTCTGTAGTGAAATGGGAAGGTTAATGCCTGCCTCAGGTGGTGTTGTGAAGCTGAAGTTAAAGCGGTGTGCAGGTGGCTAGGATACAGCAGGTGCTCAGTAAATGTTAGTCCCCCTCTTTTCCCTTCCATTTCTCTTTAGCAGTACTGTGAAAAATGTGAATATGTCGAATGCTGTCCTTTTCATGTAGCACTTCCCACTTTTCCAAAACTGAGGCTGACATTTAGGAAGGCATGAAGGGCAGGAAATTGGTGTTTCTGAGTGAGTGGGTAAATAATTACCATAGGGTGCTAATAGCAAATGCCCTGCTGCTATTCAAGCGGTCTTCAACAAGTTCATGGAAAATGTGTCATATCAAAAGACTATTTTCAAAAATATTTTGCACCACAATGAAGTTATCTTTTAATTCCATTTTCCCAGCAGCTTTTTCAAGTACTTTTGTGTGTTCATTCATGTGTATATAATAACCTCGGAAAATTCTCATTGATGTTCATTGTTTACCAACGAAAGCTGTGAAATCACAGAACTGTCTCATGTTAGAATGGGAGGGCGGTGAAGATAGAGACCAACATATTTTTCTGGCTGTATTCTCTCTGTCTCTCTAGGATACTATGTGGTGAGGCTATGTTGTTTTCTGGTGATTTCCTAAGTGCACCTCAAACATTCCTTCCAGCTTGGGTCTTCACCCATCTCATCTCTTCTACCTAAAAAATCATTTCCCCCTACTCTTAACCTAAAGAAACCCATCTGCCTTTGAGTGCCTAGGTATATACATAACACATCTTTCCTAAATGTTTCTCCTGATTTTTCCAAAAGGATGTGTATTCCATCCTCTGAATCTTCAGAGTACTCAGCCCATTTACACTTCTCTGCTCCCTTGATGGACAGTTAGTTGTGATCAAGTCTCTCCCCTGATGGGTTTTCTGTTCTTGAAGGTGGGGCCCTTATTTTCTATGTCCTTATGTCACTGTGCTACTTAGCACAACACCTGGCAAAAATCGATGTCTGCTGCATAGTTAATGAAGGAATGGATTAGCAAATTAATACATGCACTTTCATGTGAATACTTTCAATTAATAGCACAAATTAAATCCATTGGTGGACTTTTCTTTTTATATTTTGGTGCTCCCTATGGCTTAATCATTCCTGATGCCTAATTTTCTTTCCTAGCAGTCTTCACAAAACTGGGATAGAAGGCTAAGTGCTGATTCTTCACTCCCAAGTGGCTTTACCAGTCCTCCAGATGAACTACCTCCTACTCGAATCAAGGAAAGCCACATTTTGGAAGGGCTAAGGAAGCTACAGAAGCGAAAAGTACTAGTTGAACCCTCATCAGTGATAACCAAATGGGGTTATAAAGATTGCATGAACTCGAATGAAGGGATATATTCTCCAGGAGTGAAGAGTAACAGCCTCAAGGAATATTCCCCCTGCAAAGCAGCTGGCCAGGGGAGCCCCTGCAAGGAGCCACAAAAGGCATTTGTTTATGAAACAGGTTCCCACATTAACGCAGATGATGACTCCTCTTCCTTAGCGTTGCTGCAAGCAGTTCCAAGTCAGGGCTGCAGGCTGCATGGGAGTAAATTAACCCACAGTGTTTCGGACAGTCTAGTTGGCTGGGAGCCATATGGAAAACATTTTTCCGAAGGCACGTCCTCGGTTTATCCTAAGGAAAGACCTGAAAAACTGACGCGTTGTGCCAGCAACTGTCCTTTGGAGAGGAAGTGGTGCCCAAACTTGCAGGCACCTCAGACTCAGAGTGAGAGGGGTCTCCACAGCCAAGGCCATGGCCACGTGGCTCTCAGTCTCCAGCTTTCGGACACAGATGACAATGAAACCCTTGATGAGTTGCACATCGAGAGCAGTGATGAGAAAAGCCCTTCAGATTTATCACTGACTGCTGACACTGACAAATCCATGGAGAACCTGGACATGCTCGTGGGACTTGACAAATCTCACCATGGCTTTCCTGAAGAGGACAAAAAGCAAGTGCCCACCCACTTAGAGACTAGGCCAAAGACGTTCAGCTTCATTAAGCAGCAGAGGGTGGTGAAAAGGACTTCTTCGGAAGAATGTATCACTGTAATATTTGATGCGGAAGATGGCGAGCCCATTGAATTCAGCTCTCACCAGACTGGAGTTGTCACTGTTACCACAGATGAAATCTGCATCGATGCAGCCCCTGCTCCACCCACGGGAGAACACACTGGACTTTTACCTCAGGGAAACGCCCCTTTCCAACCAAGCTGTGCTGCAAGAGACTGTACTTTTTTAAAGAGATCAGAAGAGGAAACTGAGGGAAACATTCCAAAAGGCAGTGCAGATGATAGTCCCATGGCACCCAATGACTCTTTCAGTCCCAGGGCAGTAACACCAAATACCGAGCGACCAAAGCTGACCAAACCAACACACAGCATGTCATGCCAGAGTCATCCAAGGCCCTCAGCACCTCTGGGTGTCTGTCAGAAGCCAAGTCTGACAAAAATACCTGCCAGGGGCAAGGCTTCACCCCAGAAGTCAAAAATCGTGGAGACTGAAGCCTGCACACTCGGGCCCTCATCCGGCCCCATGACTCTTGAGAAATCTCCATCCTTCATGCCTGTGAAACTCTCACGGTTCGCAAAGACCGAAAGTCCAGGACCCCTTTTTGATTTACGACCAGATTCTCACATTCCAAAGCACCCTGCCCAGCTTCCTCACAGCTCCAGAATGTCCAGCAGGAGGGACTGGGCCCAGTGCTCCAAGAGGCAGACTCCAGGGTCACGGTCTAGGCCCCTCATGGAGCCTAGCAACAGTGGCGACCCACCCATGAGAGACAGACTCTGTGACTCTGGGCCAGAGGCAGAGGTGAAGCCCCCTTCCCCACCACCCCCTCCCGGCAGGTCAGTCTCGCTACTGGTCAGGTCTAGTCGTGACTGTTCACCACCCCCTTCATCTGCCAGGTCTGAAACCAGGGGCCCCAGTGAAACTGCGAGAACCATCTTCAAATGCCCCCTGCTGAAAGGAACCCCTGCCCCTGTTTCTTCTTCCAATCAGGCCACAGCAGAAGCACTTAAGAAGAAGCCTTCCATGGCCTTCAGAAAGCCTGTCCTCACTCACCCTCTGTCCACCCCAGAAACGGTGACTCAAGCCAGATGCCCTGCATACACTCCTTCCACCTCACCTGCCATGACAGCTCCAGGGCCTCCCAAGGCCTCTCCAAAGAGAGGTGTCCCCAGAACCTCTCAACAAACCCTTGGGACAGCACACACAGACTTAGGGTTACGGACTCCCAAGAATTGCCCTTCAACCCATGAGGCCCCGGGGACAGCATCATCCAAAACTGTATCTCCAGGAAGAAAAGGACAGGTGAATGACAGCAGCATCCCCACATGCCCCAAGCCTGCCTGCTTAGGGGTGAATGAGTCCGCATCATCTCAGGTGAATAGTCCTTCATCCTCATCGTCACCGTACAAAAGCCATAATGCGCCACATGGTTGTCCAAACACTCAAGAGAAAGGACTGAAAACGCGCCTCCCAGTGGGGCTCAGAGTTCTCATGAAGTCTCCCCAGTTGCTCAGGAAAAGTTCCACAGTCCCAGGAAAGCATGAAAAAGACAGTTTAAATGAAGCCTCTAAAAGCTCTGTGGCTGCAAGCAAGTCCAAGCTCGAGGGCTGCAAGAATCCAGCAAGCCTTGAGACCACTGGAGGGGAAAGAGATGCAGCCACTCTAGATTTCCAAGTGCAAGACACTGTTGCTGATGGGCTTTCCATGGAAACAGCACTACCCGAGCCATTGGAAAACAGCAGCCCTGGGGCTGATGGAAGAGACGGATTAGAAAACAGATCTGTGAAAAGATCCCTGTCCTCCAGTAAGCCACATCTGAAGCCAGCGCTGGGCATGAACGGCGCCAAAGCCCGCAGCCAGAGCTTTAGCGCTCATTCAGGAGACAAGCCTTCCACGCCCCCCACGGAAGGGCCTGGCAAAATCCGAACTCAGATTATTACCAACACTGCTGACAGAGGCAACTCTCTTACCAGGCAGAACTCTACCATGGAAGGCTCTTTGAATAGGACCCCTTCTGCCCCCATGCCTGAGAGCCTTCTCAGTGCTGGGAGGCCCCTGGGCCACCCATCCTCCAGGCAGGGCTCCCTGGGGAGTGCAGACAGTACTAGCCAGCATGGGAGCCCTAGCAAGTTGCCTTTGAGGATCCCTCCAAAGTCTGAAGGACTCCTCCCCCCACCTGGAGCAGAGGCCCCACAGACATACACTCAGGGAGAATGTCCCAGTGTGGCCATAGCTGCAGAAACAGGCAGCGACCACTGCAGGTGCCCAATCATACCAACAGACTGCCCTCGAACCCTGCAGAGCCCGGGGAGGACACAGCATCCCAGCGGTTTTGAAACAAGCAGGACATCCAAGGTAGAAACTTCTGGAAGGCATCCAGATGCCTCTACAACAAGAACTGGTGCTGTGAGCCCGGAAGCCCCCCTCTCACCCACAATCGAAGAAAAGGTCATGTTGTGCATTCAGGAAAATGTGGAAAAGGGCCAAGTGCAAACAAAGTCCACCTCTGTGGAAGCCAAGCAAAAGCCAGGGCCTTCATTCGCCAGCTGGTTTGGTTTTCGGAAGAGCCGGCTCCCAGCTCTGAGTAGCAGGAAAATGGACGTGCCCAAAACCAAAGTGGAGAAGAAAGACACGAAAGTGCTGGGATTTGGAAACAAGCAGCTAAAATCAGAGAGGAAAAAAGAGAGAAAGAAAACTGAGCTGCAGTGTGAGATGGGAAATGAGCTCAACAGGGACACTGAGTCAGTAGATGGGGCAGACAGTGGCTCACAGAGCAAAACAGCTGTGAAAATGCCGCAGAACACTTACAACCAAAGGAAGTTTGAAGCCAGAAGTAGACTCAGCCCTGTCACATGTCCAGCAAACGATGCCTTCATGACAGAACTGTTGAACAGGTAACTCATTGGGAAGGAGGGGCAATGTAGAGGGGGCCCCTCACCCTGAGATGGAGAGTTGTTCACGTCCTGCATGTTAAACATCAGTCAAGCATGCTTTTCATTCAAGCAGGAATGCATAGTCACAGACTTTTATACATTAACTGGAATATAAGCAATGAAATCAAAGTTAGCAATAAAATGATAATTTAGTCCATGTTACTTGGTTAACCAAGCCAGTGGTCTTTGAAATTAAAGAATGGTAACTTTTATCAAGGTTGATACAGAATTCAACCTACACTAGGAATCATGAATGTACTCACATGGCATGAAATGGAAGAAAATTACACATAGATTTTTAAAGCATACTGATTTCATTGATTGTTCTGAGCCAACATGTACTTAGAAAGTTTATCAGAAATAATTACATTTCCTGCCAATCTTAAGGCAGAAATATGTTTAGCAATCACTCCTCAGTGGTTTTTATTTTTGCCCTCCCCACAAGAAGTTATAAAAGTAAATTATTATATTGTCAAATCTAAATTGACACCCTACTTGAATATTTGAAAATTTAATCAAGGCTAGTGAGTAACATTTGTCACACAAAGGTTGAAAAAGAGATATGTGGAGGTTACTTTAAACTTTAAAGGATTGGGGAAAGGAGAGTGAATGAAGAAGAGCAATGTAATTTATCAGAGGAATCACTTTCTACCTGCAGAGTTGATAAGAAAGCAGCTCAACAGACAGAAAGTGGATCAAATGATATTTCCTGCAGGAATGTGTTAAAGGGCAGTTCCCAGAGCTCCTGTCTCAGTGGCAGCTCCATCAGCTCACAGGGAAACCACAAGAAAAACACCAGAACCAAAGCCGACATGGAAACACCGAGAGACTCCCTGGTAAGTGCTCCACCATCCTGGTTACAGAGTGCTTCCTTTGGAGCTCTTCCTACCCTTTGCTGATGCAAATGGATGTGCAAAAGAGACTGGGGGTGGAGGAGAGGAGAGAGTTTGTAAAAAATAAGATTTCAGAAGAGAGAAAGGCTGATGACAACCGCGGCCGTGAGATGGCAGCTAGACAGCGAGTGGGCCTGGCTCCCTCCGGGAACACTGCCTTTCCCAGCGCTGTTTTCAGAATGGAGTGCATTCCCAGAGCAGTGCAGGAGGCTGATGCTGCCAGTGTCATTCTCAAATGATACCTCGTGTTGGATATTTGTTTTCGTGATGAATTCCAACACCACCAGCAAAAAAAGAAAAAAAATAAATAAGGAATGAACATGGTTTTAAAAGTGAAAATGCTAAGCAATTTAAGAGACTCCTGGCTGTGTTGATGATTTGGTCTCAGCATTGTTCATTTGCTATGAATTCTAAGCACCAATTTCGTCCTTCCTAGACAAGCAGTGTTAACACTAAAACTCTTTTTTGGAACTTGGCTCCTTCTCTTTTAGCCTTTTAATTATGAGGTTCAGAACTCAGGGAGTGAACTGCCTTAAAAAAAAATAAAGAGATGTTTTAATATTTCCCTAGAGGGTGCTCAATTCAGAAAACATTTTTGTTTTAAAGTTGCCTGAAATTGCACTCCCTTTGGTTATGTTCTTTATGTTCTTATATAATTGATTTGGTGGTGTTTGCCCTTGTTCCCTTTAATACATTTTAAAGCACTTAACCCTCCCCCCAAATTTTCTATATAGAATTATAATATCCACTTATTTTTGTACTTCACTAAGGAAATTATAAAATATAGTCCATACTATCATTTACTGAGGGAAAACTTGAAATTTAAAGCAATTATACATTTTTTCCTGGTGTGCTTCGAGAGTAGAGGAGATCCTAAAAGTAATTATGTTTGGCATTATCAGTTACTAATTATTAGTTACAATTCCTCAATGTTAAGCGTAAGCGTATCTTAGATAAGAGTTCCACAGGCAGATTTTAATTTGAAACAAATTCACATTTAATTTTTTTTTATTCAGATAGCTCTTGTCTCTGAAAAACTATAAAGGCTTCCAAACTTTGTGAAATCACACACAGACTGTTCGCTGCAAATGTTCCTCATTTTTGCTCTTTGCTTTCACAGTGTCATCCCTTCTTTAAAAATGTAGTTGTCCCTGCATTATAAAACCACAAATTGTAAGCATATCTAAGGGTGTCCTTGTAGTGTCACTGTGAGGAAAGAAAGAATGAACGCGTGGAAATGTGCAATATGCCGGAAATTCAATCCAGCTGATGGAAAACTTTGATAGCCTGACAGAACCCCTTATCAGAGGAATGCCATTTATGCCCCATTTAGTATGGATCTGACAGCTTAGGGTGCATCTTCACTGTATGAAATACCCAGAAAACAAAGAGAGCCTGTTTTGGCTTTTACAATTTCATTTTTACTTTTGTGTTACTTCCTAATGCTGAAATAATTTGCCATGCTTTTTCTTCTCTCATCTGCTGGCTTTTGCAGGCTAGCAATAAGGGTTCTTTGGTATTCTGAGAATATCTGATGGAAACGCTGTGTTTTCCGTGAAGTACAGAGGCTCACTCACCACCCAAATACACATCAGCAATGGGCATGTGCTAATTTTTCTGATGAGCTGCAAGAGGACACTCATCATATTGGGAAGCTTTTTCCAAATAGAGGAATGTTGTTAACCCACATAGATGACCAGCTAGGCATTTTTTAAAAATGTAACATGCATTGCTTTTTGTTTCATCTCCATAATTGTCAGTGTGGATTTGGCTGAAATTACTAATTTCAGAGAGGACATTTGCTGTAGTATCCGTTGGGGCTGGTACAAGAGTGGCAGTAAAAACCCATTTATTATGTATTTATCAGCATATCAGGAAGAAGATTAGATGTAAAATAAGATATATTGTGATACTAAAGCACATTAATGTGAATACTTGTGAACCTTTTAAAATCCAGACTTTGAAAGAATTTTCCCCTGTGAGGATTCAAGGTAAATTTGCTATCTGCTTATTTTAGAATGAGTTATAAAGATTTTTCTCATGCTAGTTATTTTGGGCGAAAACTATAGCTGTATATAACATGTTACATATCATTCTTTTTTTCCTGAATAAAACCACTGTTCAGCAGCCTTAAGACATAATATACCATACTCTACAAAGCAAGATTATATTTAGTTATGAAAATCCTAGGACATTTTAATGATTTTAATCCACTGTAGTAATAGATTATTTCCGTATGTGTAACAAAATTCATGTATGTAGCAAAATGCTACTTAGTTCACAAGTAAGTGCATGTCACTTTTTAGTATTGTTAGATACATTCTAAAATATGTGTAAAACTCCCATTAGTGCTTTGTTGAATTAAATCTAATTCTCTTTTCAGAGCTTTAATTAGAGGCTTATGTCTCCATTTCTACCATCATTTACAGACCACTTAGCTCTAGCTTTTGTGTGATTTAGACCAGAGGCCATTTTACTCTGTACTTGAAATGACTTTATATAATTTAAATAAAATGGGGAAAAGATTTGCCCCAGTAATACTTCATTGGCATGAAGTCAATAAGTCAGAGAGAGGTACACTCAGCTTACTACACATTGCTAATTCTTCCTTCCTGTCTTTAGATGATTTTCTGAAATGATAAGTCTCAAAGGGTGATAGCTCCAGGCTCCTGTCTAACTGCCACTGGCCAAAAATAAAAATCATTTTAACAAAATTAATGGGATTATATACCTCATCATGCACAGAATTAGATGACCATTTTGGTATGGATATTTTAATTTAAAGGTGTTCTCTTCACCCAATGTCACACAATCTAAAAAGCACATCTGTTCATAAAAAAACCACCAAATACTATCTATTAAAATAATACTGTGGTGATAAATAATAGAGTAATTATAATAATTAAATATTAGAGTAATTACACAAACTATCATCTTAAGTTCTGCCAAATATTGTGATTTCAGTTTCTTTAATTGGAAGATTTTTTTCTACATTGATGGACTTAAGAATGTGTCTTTTTTCTTCTCCTGCAGAGTTTTCCCAATGACCACCTTTTCCCAAGCTTTGCCTTCCAGAAATTTTCCCTCCCAAGATGATACTCTCTTTCACACAGATTAATTATGATGTTTTCCTTTTAAATGTGCTTTGGCATCAAAATGTTTGTTTGGAAAATCGTTAGTGTTGAGCTGATTCTGAGAAGAAATATGTACAGAGTTCCACATGAAGTTTCCTAAATACTAAGTTTAGTTATGAAATTGTACATGTAAAAATTGATCTTTGGTGATTTTTTTTTCTTTTACTTCTATTTCTTCCTTCTAGTGGTAGGTGTTAATAGAACACAGTAGATGTAATGACACTAAATGGGACATTTGTAGTAGTTTCCACTACAGCTTCAGAGTCCCAGAAGATGAACAGGACTCATGGGTACATCCTTGAAAGACACCAGAGAGAGCCTATAGTTACTTGTGAGTCACTTGCTACTTCTTACCAAATGGGACATTACTGACATTGACTTGTCTAGGTTCCTGGACAGCAATTACTGAGAAATGTCCAGCTACTGGTCTTTAATGGGCCAGACACTTGACAGACTTCTTGGTTTTATCACCCTTTTCATATTTTCCAAGTGCTTTGAAAATTATCCCACTTGTGCCTTTCTTTGGCAAGTTTTTTTTAAGGTTTATTTGTTTGTTTAAAAGGCAGAGGATCATTATTTATTTGAAAGAGAGAGAGGGAGAGACAGAGAGGTTTTCCATCTGCTGCATCACGCCTCAAATACCAGCAACAGCCAAGGTTAGGCCAGACCAAAAGCAAGATCACAGAACTCCATCTGGGTCTCCCAAGTACTTGAGTTGTCTTCTGTTGCTGTCCTGGGCACATTAGCCAGGGAGCAGGATCAGAAATGGAGCAGCTGTGACATCAGTGTGGGATGCTGACATCACAGATTGCAGGTCAAACTACTGAGCCACAACACCAGCCCCGTGGCAAATTCTTAATCTTGATCTAGCATCCAGTTACCTGCCAGGAAGGTTCCCACACCCAGCTGCTGTGTAATCAAGAATTAAAATTAATGTAAATTTCATCCTATGAAAAATATAATTAGCAAGGGTAATCTGCCAGAATAAATTATGCCTGTCATTTCTACAGACAAAAGGGTTTTTTCTAATTACTCACCACTGCGCATGAAGTCTATTTGTATGGATAATTAGAGCTGATGAGTCAGACATTATAGGATACTCCCCATTTTCTATTCCTTTACTGCTTCTGCATCCATCCCTTTCAAAGTAAAAATTCCTCCCACGGTTCATCTTCCCCTCGTGGATCATTCAGCTCAGGCTAGCAGAAAGAAGGAAGAGACCAATAGCCTTGTATGCAAGCCCAGATTCTTTGACAGATCTCCAGAGACCATATTTAGCATGTGCTGTTAAATGCATAAAGCTCTGGAAAGGCTCTGACAAGGGTCTGACAGGTCAGACTGTCTGATGGCTGATGGCTTCTGCTTTCTTTCTTAAATATGATACTTGGAGAAAGGGGATAGTGAAGTTCTGCAAAAGGGCTAGGGACTAGTAGGGAAGAGCACCAAAGCACCAAATACACAGACACACACACACACACACACACACACACACACACACACATAGAGAGAGAGAGAGAGAGAGAGAGAGAGAATGTATGTTTGCTACACTTAATTTAAAAATGAACTAATGAACTATATAGATTCTTAGAATACTGCCTCCATATCTAAGGTCTGGGAGATCGGGAAAGTATACCTGTTGCATGAGCCACTGTGGGGGAAAAAAAAAGTGTATCAGTGGCAAAAGGATCCATTTTGAAGATGAAACCCTATGTGACTTTGAACTAGCCAGTGCCCCTCTCAGAGCCCTTTTGCTTTCCCTGTAAGATGAGAACTTTGTTTTAATTATTTGATTTTAGAACTTAACAGACTGACAGATTTTGATTCACCCATATTCCAGTGGGTTAAGAAAAAAACCCTGCAAGTGTAAAATGGATAAATTTCAGACAACTGAAAGAAAATATTTGAGGGAAATATGGAACATATTGTCTTAAGTTCTGGAATGAACTGAAAAAAAAATCTTTGATGTTTCTGTAAGCGGGTATGGAATACTCTCAAAGTATCATTAATAGAGGTGTTTAGGGAATCCTTCCCTCAATGGATCTTTGAGTAAACTTGTCACAGAGCTCTGAGCTGAATGAACTTTATAGGCAGATTAGTTACACTTTAGTCTCAGTCACATTCACAGTATTTTTCCTCTGCCACCCACAGAGATGCACTATGAGAAACAGTTGATGAAGACTTTTTTTTTTTCTTCTTTCATTTGCTACTGGAGGTGCTAATGGGGAAATGCCCACAGGGCAGACTGCTGAGCAGAAAGAAAGTGATAAGCATGGTCTTTAGATACCTACCCCTTAACAACCTCTCCTAACGTGGGAATTGAGCTGGCTGCCTACATACCCTGTTACATTTGCCACCTTCCAGCTATTAGAATGGTACAGATTAAGCACCAATTTTACATTCTTTTTCTAAAAAGGTTTATTTTTTTATAAATATTTATTTATTTGCAAGTCAGAGTTACACAGAGAGAGGGAGAGAGAGAGGTCTTCCATCCACTGGTTCACTCCCCAATTGGCCACAACAGACAGAGCTGCACCGATCTGAAGCCAGTAGCCAGGAGCCAGGAGCTTCTTCCAGGTCTCCCACGCGGGCGCAGGGGCCCAAGGACTTGGGCCATCTTCTACTGCTTTCCCAGGCCATAGCAGAGAGCTGGATTAGAAGTAGCCAAGACTTGAACCGGGATACATATGAGATGCCTACGCTTCAGGCCAGGGCATTAACCCACTGCACCACAGTGCCAGCCCCAAAAAAGGTTTATTTTTATATGTTTTGTTTATTTGAAAGTCAGAGTTACAGAAAGAGGAGGAGGCGAGACAGAGAGAAAGAGAGAGAGAGGTCTTCCATCTGCTGGTTCACTCCTCAAATGGCTTCAACAGCTGAAGCTGCACCAATCTGAAGCCAGGAGCCTGGAGCTTCTTCTGGGTCTCTCATGTGGGTGCAGGTGCCCAAGGACTTAGACCATATGCTGCTGCTGTCCCAGGCACATTATCAGGAAGCTGGATCAGAAGTGGAACAGCTAGGTCTCGAACCAGATGCCCATATGGGTTGCCGACATTGCAGGCAGAGGATTAACCTGCTATGCCACAATGCTAGCCCCATCACTAATTACATCATAATAATGGAACTCTAGTCAGAAAATGTGAATAATTGGTCTTATTCCATTAATTATGAGGAGGGAAAAAGTAGAAGCCTTAATCTAGCCCAAGGTCAGTATGCAACCATCTTAATTTGTAAATTGCAAGTATAAAGTGATAGTTTCTTGATATCAACTTAAACCCCTGAGCAAGCTCACTGTCCATCTCTAGTGTATAAACCTGAGCAAGAACCCCATCACATTGCACAGCTGACATTATTATCTTTGGCTGCCCAGGAGACTGCTGAAATGTGTTTTTAAGGAGCTAGAATCATCCCACCAAGGAACACAAGGTATCTGGGGACTGAGGCCAGGTCTACAAAAGCATAGTCATAGCTGAGTGGAAATTTAAGAAGAGAGTCCCCCAGAGGAACACAAATCTGGAGTCAGACTTGGTTTGTTTGAGTCCCAGGTCCATTGCTTAGACAATTCTTCATCTTCTCTGTTGTTTGGGGATAGGAGCTCTTCTCTAAAATGAAGCTCCCAGTAGCACCTGCTCCAGAACTTTGTTGTGAGACTTGTAAAACCCTGCATGTGAGGATTTTAAACAGCACCTGCCACACAGTGTTTAAGTGTTTGCTGTTTTCACTATGACTGTCATTGTTGGTGCTATTACTGCTGTTACTGCTGGATTGGGAAGAAAGAACTTAAGTTTTCATGTCAGTGTTACCATTTCCTCTTTGCGTACAATTTTAGGGAAGCATCTTGGACCTCACAGTTCTCATTTCTCATCTGTACAAACTAACTTCATGAGTTTCTATCCTGACTTCGATCTGATGCTGTTCCTGTCAAGCGTCTGGGTGTTCCAATGGAAATATGAGGGAAATATCTTTGACATGAAAGTCTAGAAAAGTGTCTCAGTGCCGTAGTTCACTGATGTACACATCATAGTCACTTTGTTTCATTGTAGGAAGAATTAAAAAAAAATCACTCAGAATTCTATTGCAGGAAAGTCAGGTGATGTGAGTATATTTTTAATATACTTCTTTTTTCTTTTTTTGTTTTTGATAGGCAGAGTTAGACAGTGAGAGAGAGAGAGAGACAGAGAGAAAGGTCTTCCTTCCGTTGGTTCACTCCCGAAATGGCCACTACTGCCAGCGCGCTGCACCGATCCGAAGTCAGGATCCAAGTGCTTCCTCCTGGTCTCCCTTATGGGTGCAGGGCCCAAGCACTTGGGCCATCCTCCGCTGCCCTCCCGGGACACAGCAGAGAGCTGGACTGGAAGAGGAGCAACTGGGACAGAACCGGCACCCCAACTGGGACTGGAACCCGGGGTGCCGGCGCCACAGGCAGATTAGCCTAGTGATCCGCGGTGCCGGCCACTTCTTTATTCTTTATAAAACAACTTGAGGAATTCTCTGACTCTGGAAGAATTATACTTCCTAGAGTTGAATAAGTTTGAAAACCGAAGTTGCTGGCAAGTGTGCGGCATATTCATTTGGGACATCTATATCCCATATCAGAATCTACTCCTGGCTCCACTCGTAACTCAAGCTTCCTGATAATGCAGACCCTGAGGGGCTGTTGGAGATGACTCAGGTATTTGAGTCCTTGTTACCCATAAGGAGGTCCTGGATTGAGTTGCCAGCCAATGGCTTCCACCTGGCTCATCCCCAGCTATTGCAGGCATTTGGGGGAATGCATCAGTGGATAGGAGATTGCTTTACTCTCCACCCTTCAAACAAATAAATGTTTTATTTTTTTTTAATTTTTTTTTGAGAGTGGACAGTGAGAGAGACAGAGAGAAAGGTCTTCCTTTTTTGCCGTTGGTTCACCCTCCAATGGCTGCCGTGGCTGGCGCGCTGCAGCCGGCGCACCGTGCTGATCTGAAGCCAGGAGCCAGGTGCTTCTCCTGGTCTCCCATGTAGGTGCAGGGCCCAAGGACTTGGGCCATACTCCACTGCACTCCCGGGCCATAGCAGAGGGCTGGCCTGGAAGAGGGGCAACCGGGACAGAGTCCAGCACCCTGACCGGGACTGGAACCCAGTGTGCCAGCGCCACAGGTGGAGGATTAGCCTATTGAGCCGCAGCGCCGACCATAAATGTTTTATGTTTGAAAATTTTAAGACATATATAAAAATTGTGCATATATGTTGGTACTTTGTGATATTTCCATACACTGTGTAATGTTTGATCAGCATAAATTCATTTATCTTTTCAAACATTTAACATATCTTTATAATCAAAATGTCCAAAATCCTATTTTATAGTATTTTAATGGAGACATATGTAGTATATTATCTTTAGTCACCCTAAAATCTTATATAGAATGAGATACCCTCTAAATCTTCTTCAAAGCTGGAATTCCATTTCTGCAGATACAGACTTTGAATTATAAAATAAAGTCAAATCATAGAGGGGGGAAAATGAAAAGAAAGAAATTCGTATGTACTCATCCTCAGAAACTTGCATGTGTAAACGTGCCCGCACCCACACAATTGTAGTAGAATGTACCATTATTCTGAGTAATGCAGAAGATTTAATATAACTTCCAGTATTTTCTTGTTGCTGCAGATAAAAGGGGAGAATGAGAACTTACAAGAGGATGAAGAAGGTCCAGTTGCAGATTCTGCATTCCAGAGCCACATCATAGGTAAAAACTCGCATTCTGATGCATTTTTGATTATGACTTTTCTACATGTGACTTTCTTTCAGAAGCTTCCAGAGACCATAGCTTATGCCTACAGCAAGTTCATGGTCACACATAGTTACCTTTATCTCTCAGACATAAAATAAGTGGATCAAAGCAGCACCTGTGAAGAAAACATAGGTGCTTGCAAAGAAATGCCATGTGAACTGACGAGAAGTATTTGTCAGTCTAAAGTGAAAGTAATACTGAGCGTAAATAATTTGTTTCTGAGGAGAAAATCAATTCTCAAGAGTTCCAGTTTCTTGAAGTCTCTCAAGAAGCACCTAATACAAATACCTGTCGGTTAAAAATATAGTGTGATGGCTCTCTTGAACAAAATTTTGTAAGTTAAATACCTTGTACCCATAGAACTAAATACAATAAGTAAGTATGGCTTGCCAGAATCTTCAACTCATATTTTTCACTATTCTTGTTAAAAAATGCTGATCAAAATAATCTTGTTTCTGTAATAAATTTAACTTCTCAGCTATTTTCCTAAAGTTGTGCATTATGCCAGACTGAAGGAACCCAAGTTCCCAAAACAGAGGGTCTTGGCTGACTGTTTTCAGCAGCCAGAGTGTAACTGGTGATGGAGAGTTTATATTGTGACCATGATTCTCAGGAGATAGAAGATAAGTCTAATAGCACTGACCATCTTGGATACTTGCAGAATTAGTTGCTTCTTGGAGTCTAAAAATAGTTTTGAATATCAAAATGCTGAGCATTTAACTTTACACAAGACACCAAGGCATGAAGGGAAGCATTTCTCCTGATTGCATTTGGGTATAGTAGATAGTATTGTGTGCCATGTTCCAGTATATTATAGTCACAGATCGCTAGTTTCTGGTATCATCAGTATCCACTGCTCCTATCCCCTCAGGAATAACTTTATCTGCTACCTCTCAGTATCCCATTGCTCCTAGCACCACGTACACTTTGTGACTGTGTCTAGCATATCCAGCAGTCTTCTGCAATCTAAAGTTTAGTTTGTTTCAAAGAGTTGTTGTACCCCCACAGCTGTATGAGATTGATATACCATCATTCTTTTCATGTGTATTTGGGGATACAAAAGTCTTAACAAACAGCTGAATGCATGTAGTCTGAATAAAAGTATTATTCAAAAAAGATCCTTTATTACAGTTGTCAATGAAAAATGTTTAAATTGGTATCAGTTCTGTGTAGTTAGCTAATATGCAAGTTTAATAGTCTTCAAACATGCCACTATGTAAAGCCTCACTGGGTCATCATTTTTCCATAATCAGGAGTTCTTGGTCCTATAAAATAATGTATATAAAGTTAAAGACTGGATTCTTTTTAAAGGGAACTATAGTAATGTAGATTTTTCTTAATATACAAAAAATTCTTTAGATCTGCACTGTTTGATATGATTGCTGTTAGTCACATGTGGCTTTTTATTTCCATATAAATTAACTAGAGCAACATAAAATTAAAAATTTAGTAACTCAATAGCACTAGCCACATTTTGAGTGTTCAGTGGTCACATATTCTCTATGTTCTATATTAACATTTCCTTTATCACACAAATATGTATCAGGATACATCAAAGTTTGTGGAAAATTGGAATTCCAAGTTTATTTTGTTGAAAACATTTTTGAAATTCATGAATGGCTTTTCCATAAAACACATTGTTCATAAACTTTTTGAAGATCCTGAATATTCATGGATTTTAATGTTTGCACCCAAATTATCTTTTAATTTTTAATTCTGTTTTGTACAAACATTTTGAAGTTTCCTCTATGATCTATATAAGCATTCCTTCATCACTGTTCTGATGGACAGTATTCCTTTACTTTTTATTTCATTTTTTATTTTAATTCTAACAGACTCAATATGATTTGTATGCACAAGTCTAAAAACATAATATCATTCCCTTCCTCCATCTATCACATCTTCCTTCCTTCTACCTTTCTTTTTTGTTTGTTTTTGAGATAACATTTTAAATTTATATTGCAGTAAAAAGGCTTAATACTTAACTAAATAAGCACTTTAAAAAGCAGAAAGGCCTTAGTTTATTGGGAATATAGACAATGGCTATAAACAATAATTGAATGGAAAAATAACCATTTCATCTATATGTAGTTTTTTGTCAATTAGTCATTCATAATTTCTTGCAATGAAATAGAATCAATGGCAATTTAACCTCTAAATATTTCCTGTGTGGTAACAAGATAATAAGTAAGTTCATTTTGACCTTAAGCCATTTCCTTTCAACACTTACAATACTGGATGTAGATTTGACCATCTTTTTGATAGATCATTATTTTGTCTTTAGAACATTGTGCACTTACTTCTCCAAAGTGGTGAACTATATGAATAAGCTGCTGGTAGCCACTAGTAAACAACAAAAAAGAAAGCTGACTGACAAGCCATTATTTAAGTAATTATGTCTATTTGATCATCTTACATAATCAAAAGTCTAGTGGAAGGCAAACACAAACGAGACATAGAGCAGCTCAACAATGTTATCCAAAGCCCTGTTTCATTTTATCTGTCTGTTCATTACCACGTTGGCTTTTTGTCTTCATGCTTGTTGACTCTGGTTGCACATTGACTCTTACTACTCCATAAATGGAAAGAGGGGGTTGGAAATCCTTATAAAGAGGAGAAAAATGTCTTGAGGAATTTGAGGAAGAAGTCAAGCAGAATGCAGGGGTGTCTCTCTCTCATCCCCCAAAAGAGGGAGGCCTTGTATAATATCATGAAGTGAAGAATACGTGTTATTTTCCACAAACCTAAAAGAATTACAGAGAACAATTTGACAGGAGCTCAATGGGCAAATGACTAACTGCCCCATGGTTGAGTGGAATCTGCTTACCCCCACCACACACACACACACACATTAGCTGAATGTACACCCAGCCTATTCTGCAGCAACCAGAAGGGCTCCTACCACCAGTGTGTTATGACAGGGCACATGATATAACCCTGATTTCCAGCTTTCCTTTACAATGCCGTGAAGTTGCCTTGGTGCTGTCCTCTGTACCCCCAGAGCTGATGCTACCTCTAAAGGATCCTACCACCCCAGCCTAGCATCATCTTTCTCCCCTTCCTCCTCAGACCGAGCTCTCCTGCTGGCTACTAATGTATCATACAGGAGGACAATAGATACTCAATTATTACACTTGACTGACTTCACACCATAAACCAGTGCATTTCAGTTTTATCAGGAGCTTTTTATTTCCTTATTTCTTGTCCTCTCTTAGATTTTTGCTAGCTAATATTGTAAACTTACATCACTAGAGCAACAGATTAAACAGATACCTTACATATTTGTGTTGTAACAAGGGCAAGGCGAAGTCTTACTGTTAGTTCAGAACTTTGGAAACTAAGTTTTGCACACTCAGAGCACTGAATTGAGAAAATTTGGTGTTAAGAAGAAAGGACAGGGCCAAGCCTGCTTCAGATAGTGAACAGTAGCAGGAGCAGTGGCAAGGAAAAAGAACTGTTTTTGAAAAACGGTCTACCTTATGGTAGACAAAGCTATGTTGAGTAAAATAGAGGAAATTTAGAGCCTCATGCACAGTGGAAATTTTATCTCTGTAACTCACAGGCCTTAGTCTTTATCATCCAGCCAGAAAGTATCCAATCCATAGTAGGAACATGTCCAGCCTGCATTTGAGTAGAGGCAGAGGGATAAAAGAGTCATAAGATGTGCAATGGTTATTGTCAAGAAATCTGTAAACCAGAGTCATAGGATGCCCTGCAGATGCAACAGCTGCTTGCCCCAGCAGAAGAGAAGACCTAGCCTAATATCAAAATGTTTGTAGCAGTATCTGTTACTTTGGGAGGAAGTGTAAGGAAGGGCCAAACAGGTTTCTGAATCAAGTACTTCACTTAGAGAACAAGAACCAGGATCTAGGTGTTTATTGTATCTGAACAGAAAGAACTCTTGAACCCAATTATTGTGCCACAGCCTTAATAGTCTATGCTCAACCTTAATAGTATATATTACTACATATTCTATCATTTGAATTCTTCAGAATACACTCACTTTTAAATCTAAGACAGTATCAAAATCAGTAGAATTAGATCAAGATGGAAGTACAAGAAATCCTAGTCACTGGCCCTGTGGTGTAGCAAGTTAAAGCCACCATCTGCAATGCCAGTGTCCCATGTGGGCACCAGTTAGAGTCTCAGCTGCTCCACTTCTCACCCAGCTCCCTGCTAATGAGCCTGGGAAATGATCATACAGGAGATGGTGTGGTTTTACATGATTGATATCCCATATTATTACAAAACCCAGGGCTGGGCCAGGCTGACTTGCCTCTCCCTTTCCTGACATATAAAATGATAACTAAGAAGTACTATAGGATACTGGATTGGGCCATAGGATTCAAATATATAGCAAAGTTTGACAGCCACTGTCCTAAGGGATACAATTTCATCATCAAAGGAGAGAGAGATGTCCTTCAAATTAAGGGAAATGGTATGAGTCATGAAGTAGATGGTTTATAGAAGGACACACAATTGTTGCTGATATAGCAGCAGTGAGTTTCTCACAAGACCCTAAAAGTTCCCAGGAGTCCCTAAGAGAATGATCCATGGGACTGGTATGTTTTCCAGTAAGGAAACTGAATAGTGCAAAAAGAAAGGTTTTGACATTTGGGAAAGATAAGGGTAACATGCTATAGATAGGTGAGCTGAGCTGGCAGGGCAGAGGCCAGTAGGCAGTTCTGTGGGGTGAATTAATCCAGGTGATCAATGGGGAAGGGCCCACTCAGTGGCTGATAACTGAGACACAGTAAGTATGTTTTGCCTTTTTCCCAGGGCCTATTTTTTCAAGTATAAAGCTATAAAGCTCAGGAAAGTGAAATCTCTATTCAGAGTCCTTTTTTCTCTACAGTCCTCTCAACTTCCTAAAAGGCAATCTATCTGTGGTTCATGACATAGGAAGGGAGAGGTGAGGGTCACATCAAAGTCAGTAATGTGCTTCAGCCCAAAAA